ATGGAACTGCTCCCTCCCCCCCCCCAAGAAATACTGAAGGCAGCTCTTATATCTACATTGCAAAGAAGAACATCCAAAAGAACTGAACAAGGAAACAGAACCACAAAGTACAAAATGTAAGTAGATCTTCATATATCAATAATCATTCTAAATGCAAATCGACTTAACTCACAAATCAAAAGGCACAGAGTGCTTGGTTTGATCAGACAAAAGAATCCAGCTTTCTGCTGTCTGCAGGAAATATCTCCTGAGCTCTATTGATAAACACAGACTCGGAATAAAGAGTTGGAAAATAATCCTACAAACAAAGGTTACCCAAAGGAAGGCAAGGATAGTCATAACGCAGATTTCCAGCTAAAAAAAGGTAACAAGAGACATGCATGAACACAATAAGTTAAGGGAATACATCCATAATAATAATAAGGAAGACATAACACTCATCAATATATACACATATAATGAAGGAGCATCAAGCCATATGAGGCGCCAACTATCAAATCTAAAAACAGACTGGGGAAAACGCACCAGTGGCTACGTACTTCAACATCCCACTTTCGACAATGAACAGATCAATCAGACAGAAAGAAATAAGAACACAATAGCCTTAAGCAAAGAATTAGACCACGTGGGCTTGAAAACTATTTATAGGGTACTGAACTCCCCCAAACTGAGTATTTTGTCTTTTCCAGTGCATATGTGACATTCTCCAGGATTGACCATTTATTGGGTCACAAAACAAGTAGCAGTATATTCAAGAAGACTGAAATGAGACCAGGCATCTTCTCTGACCACAATGAGAAAGCAGGGAAAATCCTCACATGTGGAAACTGAACAACACACTGACTACTGAATTAATGAGCATCAGAAATTATGAGAAACAAAATATATTACTATGAAGATTTCTATGCCAGTAAATTGAATAACTTAGAAGATACAGGCAAGTTCTGAGAAATATACAAACATTCGAGACTAAATCAGAGTTAGAAAACCTGAACAGATGAATTACAAGCAAGGAAATTGAAATAGTAAACAGAAGTATCCCCCCCAAAAAATCCAGGGCTAGATGATTTTCCTATTGATTTCTACCAGAACTTCAAATTTGAGTTAATATTTATTTCATACTCTTCAAAAAAAAAAAAAAACTGAGAAAGTGGGAATATTTCCAAACATATTTTGTAAGGCCATATATTTGGCACCCTGGTGCCAAAACCAGACAAGACCACACAAAAAATAAACTACAGACCAGTATCTCTAATGAACATAGAAGAAAACTTGCTAAACATATCTTAGCAATATGAATTTAACAATTCATTAAAAGAATCGTGTAACATAGCCAAATAGCATTTATTTCAGGGAACATAGGGATGGTTCAACAGCTGACAATCAATCAATGTAATTCATCTCATCAACAAAAGGAAAGACAAACAAAATTATACGATTATATCAATAGATACCAAGAGGTATTTGAGAGGTCCAATGTCCATTTAGAATGAGAACCCTCAAAAAAAAAAAAAAACACCTGGGGATAGGATAGGTAAGATTCCTCAACATAATAAAGGCTATATACAACAAACTCATAGCAAATATACTCAATGGTGAAAAACTGAAAAGTTTTTCCTCTAAAATCTGGTATAAGACGAGGATTTCCACTTTCACCATTACTATTCAACAATTGAGAATCAAGCAAAAGAAAGATATAAAGGGAATCCAAACTGGGAAAGAAGTAAAGCTATCATTTTTTGTAGATGACATGCTAATACATACATAAAAACCCCTAAAGACTCCACTAAAAAACTAATTAAAACAATAAATCAGTTCAGCAAAGGGGCATGTTACAAAAATCAATATACAAAATCCATTACCTTCCTATATAAAAACAGTGAGCTAAAAGAGAATGAAATCAAGAAAACAATTCTACTTAGAACTGCATCAAAAAGAACTAAATAAATAGAGGTAAACTTAACAAAAGAGATGAAGGATCTACACGATGAAAACTATAAGAGAAATGTTAAAAGAAACAGAAGACACAAAGAAATGGGAAGTGATTCCCTATTCCTAGATTGGAGGAATCAGTATTGTCAAAATGGTCACCTGATACAAAGCAACATACAGATTCAGCACAATAACCATCCAAATTTCAAAAGCATTCTTCAAAGGCACAGAACAAACCCTACTGAAATTTATATGGAACCACAGAAGAGACCAAATACCCAGAGCAATTCTGAAAGAAAAAAAGAAGTGGAAGAATGACTGGAGGTGCCACACATCTAGACCTTCCTGTGCTGTTGGCGAGAATGCAGACTTACTCGGTCCCTATGGAAAACAGTACGGAGATCTTGCAAAAGATTAAAAATGGATTTACCTTAGGACCCAGCAAGTCCACTCCTAGGAATCTACCCAAAAACTACAAAAATACTAATTTAAAGGGGAAAATGCACTTCCATGTTCATTGCAGCACAATTTACATAGCCAAGCTATGGCAATAATCCAAGTGCCCCAAAGCAGAGGAATGGATCAGGAAGATGTGTTGTATATACACAATGGAATACTACTCAGCTATAAAAAAGACAAAATCTTGCCATGTATGACTCCATGGATAAAACAGGAGGGAATCATGCTAGGCAAAAGTAAGGCAGAAGGAAAAAGACAAGTATCAGCTCTTGTCACTTGTATGTGGAATACAGCAAAACAAAACAATGGGTCAGATAAAGCCCACTGTGATTGTACAACTAGGACTACCAGAGGGGAAGGGGGAAGAAGGTGGGAGAGAAAGTGTGAAGGGAGCACAGTGGACTATGATGGTGATTTTGTAGTGGGTGTGGTGTGGTAACTACACCAGTACAGAGAGAGCCTATAGTTCTAAACACAAACAGCATTATAAACGAATGTTACCTCAATAAAATTCCAGTTTTGTCTTTTAAAGAAAAGTGTTAAATAACAATAAGTAGAAATAGAGTATGTGTACATTAAACATAAAAAGAAAAAACTGGAAGGATGAAGAGATATGTGTTAAATATATATATGAGGCACCTGGGGTCTTAATATTCATGATACTCTAAACATACAAGAGTCACTAAATATTCATGAACACTCAATATTCATGAGGCCTTAATTCAGCCACTCTTCATTGGTGACACCTACTTTGGCCCCATGTGTCCTTTGCCCAAGAAATACAACAGCCATGCCTCTTCAGCAGGCTTGCCGGTGAGCTACAGCTGTGGCCAAACCGACCTGTCCTCACATTTCTCTGATAAAGTAAGAGAGCCATTAGCCCGAAGTTCCATCTGTGTGTGGTCCTCCATGCTTGAACTTCAAGTGTGGTCTCCAAACCACATTATTAGCAGGCAAGATGGATGCAGTGTAGACAGACAAGACTCTGCCAAAGCCAGAATTCAGGCTGGGTGGTCCTTCCAACCACTTGTACCTTCTGCAAAATGTGGGAACCTAGCCCCACCTCTCTCCCCTTGCTTTCACTGCACATTGCAAACCGTTTTATGCATCAGGTGATTCATGCATTTTAATTTAGTCCCTGAGGCTTCTCTTCTGTGGCCTCTGGGAAAGCCTACATGCATGCTTCTTGGAAGCCACCACTGTATAAATATATAATCACACACAACACTCACTGTTGCACAGAGAACAGACTGGAGGGAACAGAGAAGGAAGCAGAGAAACCTGCTAAGCAGCTAGTCCATTTCTCTAGTCAATATGAGAATAACTTGGTTGAGGGTACTAGCAAAGGAGATAAGAGAGTTATAAGATACATTTTGCTACGAGAATGAAGAACCAGGTGAGATGGTGGGTAAGAACAAGTAAGAAAACAAAAAGAGTAGAGGCCATGTCAGAACCTGACTTATCGAAGATGGCCATACTGAAAAGGGCAGCGACAAGACACCCAAGAATCATAGTCCTCTGAGATGGAAGGAACACCGAAAGGTCACCTACACCAGACGCCAGACAAACATGTGACTCCCCTTCCCATAATTCTGAAAATTGACAGTAAAAAATAACCCCTGGGCACTCATCCATACCAATGACCAAACAAATATTTAACATCCTCCTGCTCTACCCCTAACACAGCCCTCACCACCAGGCTCACCCAGGACCATTCACTACAACTTCCACAGCTCTTTTTAGAAAACTCTTTTTCTTACTGAACAGAACTGTGGCCCTTCGGTCCTGTCCTTGAGATACAGAAAATAAGATCTCCCCTCTTCCTCGTGATAGATTCTTAGATTTCTGAAGATGTTTATCAGGTATACCTGAGTCTTCCCTTTACAACTATTTGTATTTACTATTCTGCTTTACAAGCGACAAATGTCTAGCCCTTTTGCCAGAGTGCCTAAGGCATCCAGAACTCAGCACCATCCCAAGGGAAGAACTTACAACACAAACAGAAGTCAGTCACTGTACTTTATCTCTGCCATATTCCTAGTAATGAATGTAACCAGGACTCGCTACTCTGACGGTGGTGCCATGAGAGTTAAATCTTGTCTGGCTGAAGAGGTGCATGGGGAAAGAGGATAGGCACACATAGCATGAAGACAATGTACCTCTGCTCCTGAAGTACCATCAAAGCCTGTAGCTAACAAGTGTAATGAGAAGATGGTAGAAGCAAATGACAGTGAATTTAGGAGAACACCAGTCTGGAAACAGCGGTGGAAAACAGCCTTCTCTCCTCCCTTTTAGGGAGTTGTAAAAGAAACACCAAGGGGTTTCAAGGGGGAAAAAAGATGTGGGTGAGTCAGCTTATACCAGAACAGTGTCTGAAAGGATACAAGTAGACTACAGGAGAATAAAATAATAAAATGCCAATGCTGAGGTGTGGGGAAGGGAAAGGTGAGAAGTCACCATCAGTGACTACAAGCTAACAGCATGTTATGCTCACCACCTAAATTTAGATACCTAACCAGTAACACGGGCCTTTTCAAAAGCTAGAGAAAGGCAGCATATAAAGACAGGAGTGAGAAGTGAGAGAACATAACTGTCCTTTAAATAGATACCTTGAGGCAGCCCGCTATTTTTCAGTGGTGGTTCAGTCACTTGAATTGTGTCATCTTCAAGGAAGAAGAAAATTTTATAACTTCTTATTCTATAGTCTTCTTGAGATTTATCAGGTATTTCGTCTTCTATATAGGCATCAAAACATAATACCTGTTGGAAACATAATCAGAAACTATGAAAAAAATCAGCAAACTTACAGTCAATAAAGCTCTTTGCTTTTGGTTGTTCATATAAAGAAATAAGTCCAAGGGATTTTCTGCAAGAAGATATTCTTACACATTAACTATGAGAATGAATATACAATCTAGCTTATATTATATAAAGATCATTTTCTATTTCAATACTGTCTAGCTAGAATAAGAATATTCAAAATAATTCCATCACATGGCTTTACCATAAGTTGAACTAGAGCCTGTCTTTGAAATTTCACAGTGGGGTTCTCATGTCTGTGTTTGAGAGACAGAATATTCTTTCTTATAAGATGAATGTAGCTTTTGTCACTTTTTAACAAATTAAAAATAACATAAAGATACCATGGTTTTAGGATAAAATTATCCTGACTTTTGGTCCTGCTGATTGCTTGCCTTGAGGCAATTCAAACAGGCAGATCTGAAGTCCCTTCAATGCTCTAGAGGCCTCCACCTTATACTTCATCAAGAACCTCAAAGTAGTTCACTGCCAGACCCAATCTCATCCAACACTGCTGGGAGTGGAGGCGGGGGAGCAGGATACTCAGGTAGCAAAAGAGATTCTAAAGTAATTGCAGTAGAAACCAGCAACAGTCAAAAATACCCCCCTGAAAATTCTGTAACCACTTTGGAAAACTGCCTTCTCAGTAAGGACAACACAGACCATTTTTCTCTTGTGTTGAAGCAGATGATAGACTGACATTTCGGTTGAAATAGCTTTCTCTTGCTTAGGTGTCATGCTGTATGCATAATACAGATTTTTAATCGCTAGAATCACTCTCAGTGAGTCATTCAGATTCAGGCTACCATTTCAAACTTAAACTAAGGCACGGGCTCCTTAAGAGTTCCATGTTATAAGAACAGAAGCCATGGAATACCTGGAAGCAAAGATGAGCCAAACACTACACAACATGCACTTCAGTGCTATCTTTAAAGATAGAGCACCCAATGCAAAATAGTGAAGGCAAGGATAAATAGATGGGACTACATCAAGTTAAAGGGCTTCTGTACAGCAAAAAGACATTGCAAAAGACAAACCGACATCCCACTGAGTGGGAACAAAATTTCTCACACAAAACTAGTGATAAAGGATTGATCACAAAGATATACAAAAAAACTGATGAAACAACAAAAATAAACAACCCCATCAAAAAATGGGCAGAAGAGCTAAAAAGATACTTCTCCAAAGAGGAAATGCAGGTGGCCAACAAGCATATGAAAAAATGTTCAACTTCACTTGTAATAAGGGAGATGCAAATTAAAACCACAATGAGATGCCACCTCACCCCAGTGAGAATGGCACATCTTCAAACAACTAGCAACAACAAATGTTGGCGAGGATGTGGAGAAAAAGTAACTCTCCTGCACTGCTGGTGGGAATGCAAACTAGTATAACCACTATGGAAAACTGTTTGGAGGTTTCTCAAACTGCTAAACATGGAGCTTCCATATGACCCAGCAATCCCACTCCTAGATATCTACCCAAAAGACATAAGAACACTGATTCAAAAAGATACCTGCACCCCCATGTTCATTGCTGCTTTATTTATAATTGGAAAGACACGGAAACAGCCCAAATGCCCAAAAGTAGATAAGTGGATTAAAAAGATGTGGTGCATATACACAATGGAATATTACTCAGCAACCAAACAAATAAAAATAAAACATGCCTTTTGCAGCAACATGGATGGAGCTGGAAAAGATCATGCTTAGTGAAATAAGCCAGAAAGAAAAGGAAAAATACCGGATGGTTTCTCTCATAGCAGGAATATAACGGAACAGGCAAGAATATAATGATAATGATGAACAGCTATATACCAGAGACATTTTGTGGGGGTGGAGTGGGGAATGGGATCAAAAACAGTGGGGGGAAGATTGAATGCACTGGACTATGGTGATGGCACATGGGTGATTTGGTGATGGGAAGCCCATGGGGATTACAACTGAGATGAAAAAAATGCACAAAATGGTGTAAAAATAAACTATTTTTTTAAAAAAGAGTTCCATGTTAATATTTCCATTGCTATCCTTATGATATATTTTTTAAATTAGAGTTGCAAAAGTTAACTGTGCATTCGATGTAATCCAGGGTAGTGTAGGGACAATACTATACAATATTAGTACAATATTATCTCCCTCCCTCCCTCTCTCTCTCTCTCTCTCAATATATATGTGTTGTTACTTGTAATCTACCCTCTAGGGATGGTCAGTTACCCTAGCTGAGAATACATACTCTGGAAGTACTCAACAAGCTTCTATCAGACACCCATAATTTATAAGCGACTAGCAAAATATCTCAATAGTCTTTAATCAACACAAGAATTTTTGTTAAACCCTATCAAGGACATTAGAAATGAGCTTATTTAGTGAAATGATAGCACTCAAAATGAATCAGTTACAGGGCCCTCCGTGGTGACACAATGGTTAAAAGCACAGCACTGCGAAGATAGCCGTAGCCACTTCACGAGTTCAATCCCAGCCCAAGGAGTTCACCCACATGGCGCAGCAGACCTCGCCTGACCCGCCCGCTGCTCCCCTCAGCAGTGTGCTTGTCAGTCGGCCTGTTCTGCTCCCCACTCTGTCTCTGGTGAATCTTATCACAGCCCCTGCACCTCTAGACTGAGCCCCAGTTCTATAAGTATAAATAAATAAATCTTTCAAAAATATGAATCAGTTACAAAGGATCCTAGGAAAGCACAGGACTCAAAGGAAGAACTTTGCTGTCCCCAAGGGCATAAACAAGAGGTTAAACAAACCAGATAGGGCCCAGACACCTGCTGCTATAAATTTCTTTGGCCCGTTGTTTTTATTGCTAATTTTTCCCCAGCATGTGCATTCCTGAGCTATCTCTTTGCAGCTTGTCAAGTTGACCACTGCAGAAGAAAGGAGTTACAGACCCTGAGACCAGACCAATTTAAACTGGAGCTGTGGGCACCAGCTCCCAATGAGATATGCACAAGCCAGGCACGACTGGTAAGCTACAGCTGATTGGTGTTCAATGTACTTAGAGCAAGGACAGTGGTACCTGATGAAAGCCTACATATCCAGGACCCCAGGAAACACTAGCCACAGTCCCTAAAGCCTGGGAGGGCCAAGAAATGTCCAGAGGGGAAAAGGCAGTTTCCCACCCCAACCTCCAGGCAGGCTGATAGAAAGCAGGAGGTGCCAAAATGGGGAAGGCCCAGCCCTGCCCCAACATGCTGACGGCGCTGATAACACCACACTGGGGGTGCACAGAAGGGGGGTGACTTAGAAACTCCTGCCTGTACTGGTAAACCAACACCCCAGGAACACCTACGCAGTAACTGGAGAAAGACACCACTGTCTGTAAATAATTACTGATTTGCCCAGATGTGGCTTTGAATTCTTTCATGACCATAGTTAAGGACCAAGGAGCCCCAAAACCCAAAGCACTCACAACTGAAACAAGAAATGGACCATACTCAAATAGACAAATGGACTTTAGCTAAGTACACTCTCCTTGCTTTCTCAGCTCATAACATTTACTTACTTTGTTTTTAAACGCAGTCCTAAAACCAACCCTGGCAATGCAGGGACCCTCTCATGCACAGAGAGGCCTATCCAGAGTTGCTTTCCCTTGCTCTTTTGATAATCAATAAAAGCTGACACTGACTACCCTCACCAGTGTCTATGGGGTCCTCTTTTCAATCCTGACCAGAGGGTCTCAAGAGCCATTTTCCAGGCTTGGGAGCAGGCCCCCTGGTTCAACCCTCGGATTCCTATGGGGCAGGGCAATGGCCAAAGACTCATAAGCTTCCAGCTAGCCACCTGTGTTGTAGGGGGTTGGGAAGCGTGAGAGAAGACTAAGGGGACAGAGGCACCCTCCCTTGTCTAGTGACATAAACTTTCTTTATAGAAACAGGCTCTCGGAGTTTAGTGAATCCAAAAGTGTTATACCATTCAAAACGGCACTTTTAGCCTCCCTGGTGGTGCAAGGGTTTAAGTCTCAGTACGATGAATCTAATAGAATTTGATCCCTGTCCAGGGAGCTGACCCACATGGAGCAACAGGCATCTCCCATCTCACCTTAACATTGATCTGCTCGCTCTGCTCCCCACTCTGTCTCTGGTGAATCCGCTCACCATCTCACACCTCTGGTCTGTACCCCATCTCTTATATGCAAAAATAAATCAATCTTTTTAAAAAATGACACTTTTATTCTCATTTCAAAATGGTCCTGTGTTCAACAGCTTTCTTGAGGACTTCATATGGCCTGATTCCAGCAGAAAATTAGCTAAGCCCACTGCTAGAATGCTGCCATATTTGTACTAAGCAAACATTCAGGCAACATGCTGTTGGATGGTGCAATATTACGATCTATGGGGAATAATATATATACACATAACATATCGTAAATATATATTACATAATCTATAGATATATACACCTATACCCATTCAAATGATCAAAATATTCACATTTGGTCTTCATCCACAGTTCCTGCCTCAGAGCTCCTAGAACTTGGATTCCCTGAGTCATTTAAGCAATGGAATCATTTTTTGTCATAATATTTGGCCGCTCATCCTCAATTTCTGATGAAGCTTCAGAGTTATACAAATTTAAATGGTCAGGAAATATATATATACACACATATATTGTATGTGTGTACATACAATATGTCATTGTAATAAAGGAAGAAAAAACATCGACTAACAACTATAAACCAGAGATATTTTACGGGGGAGGAGAGCGGAACAGACCAAAACTGGGCTGGGAAGAGCACAAGGGACTGTGGTGATGGCATATGGGTGAAGTGGTGGTGGGAAGTCCATGGGATTACAGCTGAGATGAAAAAATACACAAAATGAAGAAAGATGTAAAAAAATATATTTATAAAATTAGAAAAGTATAAATGGGTGTCTCATTACTCTAAATTGGTCTATGATAATGAAGTTAACTTTTGAAAAACAATTTTGAGGCGGGGTGTTGGGGGCTACAGCT